GGACGTCTCTATTTCAGCTGATATCACTGTCAAGGATGAAATGAATCTTATGCTTGAACTGCCCACTTTGGCCAGCGAGTTCTCAAAGAGTATTCGAGCCCTTAGTGCCAACAAGCACACGGTGAAGAAAAACATTCTTAAAAAAGTAAGTGGAGTCTTTAAGCCAGGTACCATCACACTCGTGCTTGGTCAGCCTGGATCCGGTAAGTCCTCGCTTATGAAATTGCTGAGTGGCAGATTTTCAGACCAGAAAAACATCACTATTGAAGGTGAAGTAACGTACAACGGCACACCAGCCGCTGAGTTGCTTCGTCGGCTGCCACAATTTGTTTCGTACGTCACTCAAAGAGATAAACATTATCCATCACTGACGGTTAAAGAAACACTAGAATTTGCACACGCTTGTTGTGGTGGAGGTTTCTCAGAACGCGATGCTCAGCATTATGTCAATGGTACGCCTGAAGAGAATCAAGCTGCTCTTGAAGCTGCCAGAGCCATGTTCAAGCATTATCCAGATATCGTTATCCAACAGTTAGGATTAGAAAATTGTCAGAATACCATTGTCGGTGACGCCATGATCCGTGGTGTTTCTGGAGGCGAGAGGAAGCGCGTGACGATTGGCGAAATGGAGTTTGGCAACAAATACATTATGATGATGGATGAGATCAGCACGGGGCTTGACAGTGCTGCTACTTATGACATTATCTTTACACTGCGCAGTATCGCCAAGAGGTTTCGCAAGACAGTCGTGATCTCGTTGTTACAGCCATCACCCGAGGTGTTTGAAATGTTTGATGATATTGTTCTTCTTAATGATGGTCATATCATGTACCATGGCCCACGAGCTGAGGCATTGACGTATTTTGAGAGCTTAGGTTTTCAGTGCCCTCCTCGTAGAGACGTGGCTGATTTCCTCCTAGATCTAGGAACTGATAATCAAGCGCAGTATGAGGTTAACTCGATGACGTGCAACCAGATACCTAAAAAGGCTAGCCAATATGCGGATATCTTCACTCGCTCGCAACTGTATAAACGTATGATGGACGAACTTCAAGGCCCAGTCTCTGAATATTTAATCGAAGACAAGGTCAAGCACATTGATCCGATCCCCGAATTTCACCTTAACTTTTGGAATAGCACTATTGGCGTAGTGCGACGTCAGATCATTTTGACTAAGCGTAACACGGCGTTTCTAATCGGTCGATCGGTCATGGTGATCCTATTAGGTTTGCTATACGGAAGTGTATATTTCCAGTTTGATGAAACGAGAGCGCAACTTGTAATGGGTCTCATCTTTAACGCTGTTATGTTCGTATCACTTGGACAACAGGCGCAAATTCCAGTATACATAGCTGCTCGCGACGTATTTTATAAACAGCGCAAGTCCAACTACTTTCGAACATCGTCGTTTGTACTTGCCAATTCAGTGAGTCAAATTCCATTGGGGTTTGCTGAGTGTTTGGTATTCGGGTCCATATTGTACTGGATGTGTGGATACGTGGCTACCGCAGAGGCTTATCTCTTATTTGAGCTGATGCTTTTCATGACGAACTTGGCGATGGCGGCCTGGTTTTTCTTCTTATCATGCGCCTCACCCGACTTAAACGTTGCCAGTCCAATTTCAATGGTTTCTATCCTCTTTTTCATCCTCTTTGCTGGCTTTGTCATCACCAAAGATCAAATTCCTGACTACCTTATTTGGATCTATTGGATCAATCCCATGGCATGGAGTGTCCGAGCCCTTTGTGTGAATCAATACACCGACTCTAGTTTTGATACGTGTATATACGATGGTGAGAATTATTGCACGAACTACAATTTAACAATGGGTGAGTACTCGTTGTCGACGTTTGAGGTGCCGACAGAAAAATTCTGGCTGTGGTACGGTATGATATTTATGGGGGTGGCTTATGTGTTTTTCATGGTCATGTCATTCGTTGTTCTCGAGTACCATCGCTATGAAACTCCAGAGAACGTGGCACTTGATAGTGAAGAGAAGAAAGAAACATCTGATATTTATGAGCTTGTTCTCACCCCACGTAGCATGCCGAATGAAAGGGATGTTATGGTTTCGATCAACTGTGAAAGCAAAAAACTGTTTATTCCAGTCACACTTGCGTTTAAAGATCTTTGGTACTCTGTTCCTGACCCGTCTCAGCCTAAAAGTACCATCGACTTGCTCAAGGGCATTAGTGGATATGCTCTACCTGGAACTATCACGGCACTTATGGGATCTTCAGGCGCCGGCAAGACCACGCTCTTGGACGTCATTGCTGGACGCAAGACAGGAGGAAAAGTGAAGGGTCAAATTCTACTGAACGGATACCCTGCCACTGATCTTGCCATTCGTCGTTCCACAGGGTATTGCGAGCAAATGGATATTCACTCTGAATCTGCTACCTTTCGCGAGGCGCTCACGTTTAGTGCATTTTTGCGCCAAGAAGCCGACGTACCTGACACGTATAAGTATGACTCGGTAAATGAATGTCTTGACCTTTTGGATTTGCATCCTATTGCTGACCAGATCATTCGTGGGAGCTCTGTGGAGCAAATGAAGCGATTAACCATCGGCGTAGAATTGGCCGCTCAACCAAGTGTTTTGTTTTTGGATGAACCTACAAGTGGTCTAGACGCTCGCTCTGCGAAACTTATCATGGATGGAGTTCGCAAGGTGGCAAACACGGGTCGCACAGTCATATGCACAATCCATCAGCCATCTTCGGAAGTATTTAGCGTTTTTGACTGTCTGCTGTTGCTTAAGCGTGGTGGTGAAACAGTGTTTTCGGGGGAATTGGGCGAAAATGCATGCGCGATGATCGCATACTTTGAATCAATTGATAGTGTCGCAAAATTACCGGAAAACTACAATCCCGCAACGTGGATGCTAGAAGTGATTGGTGCCGGTGTGGGCAGTAACAACGGTGACGAGACTGATTTCGTGAAGATCTTCCAGTCAAGCGAGAATGCTAATACCTTGCAATCAAATTTGATTCGTGAGGGTGTGGCGAGTCCATTCCCCGACGTTGCTGAGCTAACCTACCGTGGCAAACGCGCGGCGACGGAATTCACTCAAGCGAAATATCTGCTTCAGCGTTTTTTTCGAATGTACTGGCGTACAGCGTCTTATAACTTGACGCGATTTTATCTTAGTGTTATTCTTGGACTTGTGTTTGGATTAACTTATATAAATGCAGAATACACTTCATACGCCGGCATCAACTCTGGCATGGGGATGGTATTCAGTACAACGGCATTTATTGGCTTCATTGCATTTAGTAGTGTCATACCAATTGCATCAAAAGATCGTATCGCATTCTATCGCGAGCGCGCATCTCAAACATACAGCGCTCTCTGGTATTTTGTTGCAGCGACTGTGGTCGAGATCCCGTATGTTTTTAGTGGCACTTTGCTATTTATGATTCCGTACTACCCTATGGTTGGCTTCACGGGTGTGTCGACATTTTTTGCTTATTGGTATCACTTGTCAATGTTCGCATTATGGCAAACATATTTTGGTCAGTTCATGTCGTATCTCTTACCAACTATCGAAGTTGCGACAATCTTTGGTGTGCTTCTTCAAATGATTTTCTTTATTTTCACCGGTTTCAATCCACCTGGAAATTCGATCCCATCAGGTTATAAATGGCTTTACCATATTACACCGCACAAATATGCGTTGGCTTTATCCGCATCCTTGGTTTTCGGAGATTGTCCAAGCGGTGGTGATGACTCGGAAATTGGGTGTCAAGTCATGACTGGGTTGCCACCGTTTCTATCCAATGATTTGACAGTCAAAGACTACATGGAAGATATTTTTCTGATAAAGTACAGCGAGATCTGGAAAAACTTTGGGATTATCTGGACCTTTGTTGTGGTATTTCGCCTCTTTGCTCTACTGACGCTGCGATATGTTAACAGTCAGAAGAAGTAGTCACGAAATTCTATCTAAATTCAATGCTTAATGTAAAAACGGAAATAAAAGTACGAGTACCCTGCTCACTCATCAAATACTATAGAACGATCTCAAGTAAAATTCACGTAGTATAAATTTTAGTATATAGGTTAGACGTTAAAGGTCACCTGCTCTCGAGAATGTTCCTAATAACATACAGAATGCAATCTTAATCTTGAAATTAGTAGGTGGACCACACTGATCCTCATTTCAACGAGTACCCAAGGTGCCCGAAATTTCACTTCTCCCTTGCACCTTACAGTGCTTTTATCCACTTAAATTCCATTGCAGAAAATGTCACAATACCCCGCCGCGAAACCTAAGACGACAATAAGCTCGTTTGAAATGATCTGGACCTCGCTCAGCGAGCTGAGCATTCCCATCTGCACGGGAAAGAGTTGCTACAATTTTTACCGGCTAAATCACGTCGTGATGATGAATCTGATGCATCCGAGGTTGTGTGATGGGTAAGTCTTGTACTATCGTGTTTTCTTTTTTTGGTACAATTGTTCAAACATGTGGTATCGCGAAATTTATATAATATTTACAATATGCACGAATTTCTCATTGGAATTCGGTATGATCGCGAATCTTCCTAAGTACCGGCGTATCTGTATTTATGAAGATGATAGGACTCCGTGAAGGACTTTGTGGCGAAAAAACTTTTCTAAGGCAGTAATGATTACAATCAACATGTAGAATCTCTGAAGGGATGCTGTTACAAGGTTCCACGTACTCTGGTATGAAGGCGTGGGTCACACCTACTTGTGTGACTGTGCAATGATGTGGATTACACAAGTCGGTGTAAGCACACTAGGGTGTGGCTACACCGTAACAAGAAGCCACTACGTGGCGGGACTGCCAATAGTTATGCATATTAATAAAAAAGCTAGAGATTAGATGTAGGTGGCTTTGGCGCAAATAAAACAAATTAATACAGTTTGGATTTTGATCGGAGAAGTATATTTGGCTTGTGTTAGGGTTGTGGTACTAACTCTAGTATAGAACGAAAATCGGCGACCTTAAGTACGTTTCCTCTAAGCAATGAGCTACGGCAGCTCCGCTGCACTTGGTAGCACTCGAAGTCAATCTACACCTGAGTCATCCACTGTGAGGATGGAGCTTTCTCATTTTTACCCAATGCCATGCAGGACGGGCTTAAAAAGCTGATGTCCCTGCTTGGCACTGAGGGCGTGTAACACGTATCTTCCCAAACACCTAAAGCGATATGCGCGTGCCTAAAGGCGTTTTCGAGCTAAGAAACTGCTCTGTTGGAGCACCTAGAGCAGAAGATGTCGGCGTTTACTGCGTCCATGACGCCACCGTCGACGACGGATGAATCCTCCGACCCAGGTTGCTCATGGTGAGCGTTAAGACCTTCAAGGGTAAAAATGGAAAACGTTTACTGCTCTGGGCGAGGGAGGCCGAGATGGCTATGGCATTCGCCATCCTCCAGAAAGCGCAACAGCGCGTGGCGCTAGCTATCTCTAAGCTCAGTGGTCGAGCACAATAATGGGCACTGTCGTGTGGCACTTCGGTCAAAGCAGCGTTCCTTTCCTGGACGGAGCTGAAGCTGCAGCTTTATGAGTGTTCTCGACGCCGAACCAGGCATATCTAGTGAACATGTGCCCTTGCCGCCCGACAGGGCAAGAAGGAATTGGTGAACTTTGTTCAGGGGTTGGGTACTTTCATTGCCGGGATGACAGCCGATCCTCCTTCCCGAGGCGGTCACTGCGACCGTCGTTACAGAGGGCCTCCGCACTGGCGTAGCCAGAATGAAAGTCTTCCGTGTGCATTTGTCTCCTTTGAAGAAGCAGTAAATGTCGCATTGAATGCCAAATCCAACTTTAAATCAGAACGACTTGGTTAGAATGCACGCCCTATAGCTCGTCAAGCGGGCCTGAGCCAATGGATCTCAGCTATGCTGGGAAAGAGGAGGGAGAGGTCCGAGCAGCGTTTGAACTTTCGACGGTGTTTTGTCTGTGGAGACACCCGTCACCTTTGGACTGGATGTCCCCTGCTACTAACCAGTCTGTTTTGTCGCAAAGAAATGACAAAACCAGTGGGCGCGGGGTGCCATACTAGATTAGAACTGAGTTTTGTTGAGCCTCAAGGAGGTAGAGGGCAGCAGGGCCAAGCCTCGAAAAGCTCCGTGCTCTTAAACACGCAACGTGTATGCAAACCGGGCTTGTTGGTCCCCAAAGCGACCGTAAAGGGCTTTGAGAAGCCATGGAAGATCCTTATCGATTCCAAGGCGTCAGGCAATTATGCTGGATGCCTCATGCTCGAGCTGTATGATCAGGCGCTGAAAGCGCGGTTGAGTGACACCATTACTGTTCGCTTAGCGACGGGGACTTGTGTCACTGTACCGAAGGTCCCTGTGGACCTCGGTGTTAAGATTCTTGACTTTGATAGCGTAGAACGCTGCTTAGTCGTAGACTTGGATTCGAAGTATGACCTTATCCATGGTAAGGCATGGTTGGAACACCACGAGCCATGGAATGATTAGAGGTCGAAGACCTCGGGCGGTACGCGCAGGTCTCCTGAAGGAGCCTAGGTGAATCATTAACCCACCTCTGCTAGGAAGCAGAAGTGCTATTGGCGTGGGCACTAGACTAGGACGGACAATATGCTGGAGGTCCGAGACCTGAGTTGTCAAACACCGAAGGTGTATTTGACAGGATCCCGAGCATGGCTCGCGGGCTGACCGTGGAGGACGCACGTAATCCATTGAACACTGCTCAAGTATCAAAGCAGTGCCAGGAGTGGCATGATCGGACGAGGTCCGAGGCATCTTGGGAATCGCCCTTCTGATGCGCATGGAGTGGCACGTTATCCACTCGACGAAGACTGCGGAAATTGCAGCTCTTTGTCAGTTGTTGTTTATTACATCAAGCCTCCGAAAGAGCAGGGGGTAGGGACACTGGACGGCGCTGAGTGCGTGTTTCCACTGCCCTCGATGAGACGTAAGAAACCATTATCGATAGGAGACGGCGATGCCTTATGTTATCTGCAAGACGCAGTGCGTACAGGGTGTGTCTACCGTAGACGAAAGCGCACAGCTATATACCCTGGTCAACGTTACAACGGGGAAGGAAGACGGCGGCGTCAGCTTAGAGGCTATTTCCGCGGTAAATACTCTTCTTGATCTGGACGAGATGCCCCTCAAAGAATTTGACGGTGCCTAGAAGGCAGGCGATTTAGTTGAAGTGATCATTAGACGACCGGAAGAAGAACCAACTCGACGTCAATTGTGGATGAAGCTGTCTTGGAGGGCACCAAGAGGGTGCTGAAAGCAAAATGTAGATCGTCAATCGTGAAGGAAAGCTCGGATCCGTACTAACGTTTGGTAAGCGAATCATAAGACGTCGTCTCCAAAGACCCGCCCTCGGTCCTTCCTACAGACCGAGGTGAGTGTCATGAAATCAACCTGGTTCCGGAACCGAATAATGCGTCACAAGCCAATGGCCCCTGCCCAAAAAGCAGTGTGACTTCATTGACGTCTTTTTTCCGTGCAAAGCACGCGACAGGAATGGCGCGTACGAGCAAGTCTCCCCGTTTGACACCCACGTTTCATGTCCGGAAGCCAAACGGTAAGTGGCGTATCGTTCGCGCTTACAAAAACATCAACGCTGCCACCATTCCGACACAGACGCCGACTCCTAGGAGGATGTTCTCCAGAACAATATGGTTGGCTGTACAAAGTACAGTGCATTAGCCTTGGTCGATGAGTATTACCAATTGCTCATGAGAGCGAGTGACTTCCCGCTGACAACGGTGCGTTATTCAAGCGGGATGTTCTAAGAGTGGCGGCTGAAGCCCCAAGGGACGTCAAATGCATCAGCAACATTTAATCGTCGTGTAACGCAGCTGTTCAGGCCCCACCGGGCATACGCACAGACATACTTCGACGACAGCTTCGTCCAGAGTCGTACGGGACACGGGAGGATAGATGAGGAAAACCACATCGCCCATTTGAGGGCAGTGATCGAATGCATGCGCATATAATAATAAGCTGTGTGCTAATGCAGGTAAGTGCATCTTCGACGCCGAATGAATCCTTTTAGGGTGCTTCATTGGGAAGCGTGGCCTTCGAGCGGATCCCGCAAAGGTCAAGGGAATTGTGGACTGTTCGGTTTATCAGAGCCAAAAGGATTTGCGCAAGTGGTTTGGTCTCGGCAACTACTTGCACAAGTATCGCGCGAATTATGCGGGAATGGCACGGCCATTGTCGAATCTCCTTAAGAGGAATACGGAATGGTGTTGGGTCACCGATCATCTGGTGGCTTTTGACAGGGTCAAATGTAGCCTCATTCATGCACAAATACCGTCGTTTAGAGACCTTGATCGTGTCGTCTGTGTTGGTTTGGACTTTGCCACCGGCTGTAAACTGATGCAAACAGTCGCCGAGGGGCGGGATCGGGTGATCGCGTTCAAATCTTGGCAGCTTAAGCTGCGAAGAAAAACTACCCAGTCCACGATAAGGAATAACTTGCCAAGAAGTATCACTTGTTGAATTCAGAATGCGCTCAAAGCCAATTTTATCTACACACATCATGCGTTACTACGCACTGCGACTCATTCGCTTCACATCTCGCTGAGGATGACCAAATGGCTCTCCCTCTTCGCAGACAATAACTTCGAGTTGAAGTAAAAGCCAGAAAAGCAGAATGCTTTGGCTGATGCGTTACCACGCAGAACGGATTAAGAGCTTGCTCATGTTATTACGGTAACGTCGTCAGTGACAGATTCGATCCGCGCCGTATACACGGATGTTGGTATATGTGTAGCGCTGCTACAGGCTCGGGGGCAAGATGTTTCGATACTAGGACAAGAAGTTGTCGTCGCAATCGCGCCCTCGTTCGCACCAACATTCGTTAAAATTGCTATATTATAGCACAGACTCAACGAATACGCCACGAATTGTGATACCTCACTGTTAGGTTCTGAAGTATCGAACTCTCTTTGAGGCCCACGAC